CTCTCTGTCTTTCCGGTGAGCGCACGCGCCCTATAGCAAAAACCTCTCCAAAACAAAAAAAATTCAGCTCTCATCTTTAAAAGGGATATTTACTTGGTTACTTCATAATAAGAATCATTTTGCTCATGATCTATGGGTCTAGCTCCTTTTAGAGTACTGAATCATTTGTAAGGTAAAGACTTTGTGTGCTACCAGATGATAAAGTTGGACAATAAAACAATATTGTGCATGTATTTTCTTATTTATACCAAATAGGTCAAAAGAGTAATTTAAATATTCGATATTTTCTTTAAAATGTGCCACACATCATGGGAAGTGAATGACCTAATCCTTCTTTATTTTCCTCTTATTTTTATTTGGGTTGGCAGATTAAAGGAAGTTTGAGGAGGGAGAAAAGAAAATTATAGGGATGACAAAGAAGAAGCCCAATTCCTTCATTCTCAAATTCCATAATATGCCATACTCTGATGTCCAACATAGCGGACAGTAGAATTACGTGGATAGTCAAGAATCTGGATAATTGAATGGCTAAAACCATCCACTCTAGGCCACAAACTTCTTAAAGCATTGAAAGTACAGCTAAGTGTACTCCATATGATAATGATATAGAATAAAATATAACCTTTGATTCAGGAACTTCTTCAAGATCCATCAATGCTGGGAATCACTCTTATGTGCACAGAGATGCAGCTTTAGCACACTAATAGGCCAGAGAGAAGCTATTTCTTCTATGGGCCCAAACATCTACCCCAAAGAAACTCACCAGATCCTCACTAAAATCAACTTTCTTCCTGAGTCAGACTGAATTTTTAACTGTAGATAGTAGACAAAAAAGGATCTATGGCTGGGAACCAGCAGTTAGCATAATGGCTATGTCGCTGGACTCCCACGTAGTCGACCGCAGTTCGTGTCCCGGACCCGGTAGCTTAGAACTCACGCCGGGCACGTGTGCATGCGTGCCCAAGATCCCGAGAGGAGAATGGAGGAGAAGGGATTGCGGCGTGACCATCCCCTCTGGGGGGTCATATCTCGCTTTCTGTCTCTATGTCTCTTTCTGTCTGTCTGGCGAGCGCATGCGCCCTATAGCAAAAACCTCTCCAAAAAATAAAAATAAAATAATAAAATAAAATAAAATAAATAAATAAGAAAAGGATCTATGACTCAATGTAAACGTCACTGCATGCAACCCCAAAATCCCGAAAGGAGAATAGAGGAGTAAGGATTATGGTATGGCCATGTCCCTAGGGGATGATTTCCTGCTTTCTGTCCCTCTCTGGTCTCCAATGAGCGCGCAGTGCCCTATTACAAAAATCTCTCTTAAAAAAAAAAAAAAAGAAACCTACCAGAGTCAATCATGAGGACTCCACCTCAGTGACCTTCTCTAATCCCAATTACCTCCCAAAAGACACACCTCTCGACAGTATCATCTGATTACATCTCCACTCTTTCAACAGTGCTACAATAGCTTGCTAGATTTTAGCACAGAAATTTGGGGCAGTGAACACACTCAAGACATAGCAGGGGTAGAAACAGAACTTCAGCTTGCTCTTCCCAGCACCATGTTCTTCCCAAGCTACTTCTTTATTTTCTTGGGGTCTGCTTGCCTGTGTGGGGGAAGAAAGCTCAAGGATAGTGTCCTAGGTCCATTTCTGGGACAGCAGGGGTCCAGCTAACTACTTTACCTTCCTTTTTGGCCCTCCTAAAGACTTCTGTAGAGCTGCCAGGGAAGTTGTTGATATTCCTCTTCCCTAGTTCTAGAAGTAGTGTTGCAGATGGGCATGTCCTGACACCTCTAGCCAGGGAGTTATTCCCAGCAGCCTTTGGCTTTAGGGAACTCTCTGTGCTTCATAATCTGGTCCAAGGTTCTGACTCTGTTAATGGGTAAGGAAGGGCTATACCCTGTGAGATCCTGACCTCATCTTGGGATGTGGAGAATCTTCCAGTGATTTTCCTTGTCCTGAATCTGCTTATTTCCATTTGCTGGAGACCAAGACGAAGCACACCCATTTTCATGCTGTAATTTTTGGGGTGAAGTCTTCCCCCAGCCACTTTTTATACTTGAGGGTGACCTTCTTAAATCCTTCAACCTCTTTTTAGCATTAGATTGAAATTTCTATTTTATTTCCAGTAAAATAAAAAATAAGTATTAGAGTCCAATTCATGGTTTTCAACTTTAAGAACAAGCTTGATCACAAGATTTAACTGCCAAATACAGTAACCTATTAATTATGCATGCCACCTTTGATTACTTTCAAACTACTCTTCAAGGAAACTCTTTCATTTCTCCCATAAAAACCCATATCTGGATAAAGGCTAAAAAAGAGCAAGTACATTTCTTTCTAACTGCCCTGCATTCATTTGGGGTGGAGATGACTAGAGGCACAGTTAGTCATTAGTAATAGAAACCCTAAGATTGGGGCATGGGGGTTCTTTCATTATTCAACAAAGTGCTTTGTTGGTTGGTTTTTGGCATAGGCACATCTTTATTGTTACTTGCTCAGCTTTCTTTGACATGCCCCCAAAATGTACTAAGATCAACTTAAATAGTGCAAGAGAGAATATATTTGTTTGTTTTTCAAAGCCCTGAACATTACAGAGTATCTTTATGGCATAATATAGGTATTTTATATAGAAGAGCTGAATATAGGCAATTGATAAAGCAGAAAATGAGTGTTAGGCTTTTTTTTTCTTTTATGGAGAGGTTTTTTTGCTATAGTAGGGCATGTGCACTGACCAGAAAGACAGAGAGAGATAGAGAGACAAAAAGCGAGAAATCACCCCCCAGAGGGATGGCCACACCACAATCCCTTCTCCTCCATTCTCCTCTCAGGATCTTGGACACGCACGCACACATGCCCAGTGTGAGTTTAAGCCGCTGGTTCCGGGACTCAAACCACAGTCGACTCTGTGGGAGTCCAGCGACATAGCCATTACGCTAACTGCTGGTCCCAGTGTTAGGTTTTTTTAATTAACTTAAAATATTTTTAATTCTTGCTATAATTAACCATGTCGGAGTCACTGAAATGAGGTTTTAAAACATGAACCAAGGGGCCAGCAAGTGGCATGGTGGGTAAGGCAATGAATTTCCACATGGCTTACTGTGGTTCAAGTCCTGGGTCCAGTAGCTTGAAAATTATGCTGGGTATGTATGTGTGTGTGCCCAAAATCCCAGGAAGAGAATGGAGGGGAAGGGATTGTGGTGTAGCCATCCCCCTGGGGGGTGATTTCTCACTTTCCCTCTCTCTCTGTCTCTCCCTCTGACAAGTGCATGTGCCCTATGACAAATAATAATAATAATAATAAATTTAAAAATAAACCAAATAGAATGGGTAGTTTTGGCTTAGCTAAAATATGGGAAATGTTTATGTGTATATGTTTGTTCTAAGGATGATTATAAATTGTGCATTCACAATTTAGTAGTGTGCATATACTACTAAATGACCAGAAATGCATTTATTAGTTGATGCACAAAACAAAGAAATCAAAGCAAAGGTATTTGTAGGGAAATAAAATTAAGATAACACAGAATGCATCTTGTGAGGTTAATCTATTTGGTCCACTAACAGACATGGGAAAGATTCCTGAACTCAGATGAAAGTTATAGTACTGATTATTTTCCTTGTCCTTTTTTACTGTCCTTGAGTTTTTACAGTGTTCAAGCAATTCTGAATTTAAGTTTGTGAATTCACATATCCAGTGATACCTTCCTTGACTCTTATTGGCATTTTCTTGCCATTTAGTCATCGTGCTTTCAATTAGCATGTCACCCATTGGAGGCTGATGAAGAGAAAAAGATATCAGAGTCATCCCAATTCATTTATTTCTCAATTTTTAAAAAGAAAATATATATTGGGAGGCAGAAGAAGAGGGTGGAGCAGTTAGATGTTATTAGAACTATTTGGAACAAGATAAAGAAAAAATATTAAACTTTTGTGATTTTTAGTTTTTAGATGGTATAATGGTTACGTCACTGGACTCCTGGATAGTTGACCACAGTTCCAGTCCCAGACCGGGCAACTTAAACTTATGCTGGGTTCATGTGTGTGCATGCCCAAAATCCCGACAGGAGAACAGAGGAGAAGGGATCGTAGCATGGCCTCTGCACTGCGGGGGACATTTCTCACTTTCTGCCTCTCTGTTTCTCTGGTAAACACACATGCCCTATATAGCGAAAATCTCTCTTAAAAAAAAAAAAAAGTCATTATTAAATTGTGTTATCTATACAAATGAAGGATTTTAGATAGAGATTCTTAAGGAACGATCTCAAAGAATAAATGTGTAACATTTCTTAATAGCGAATGTATCCCTACGTTTACATACATAAAAGCTTTAATATGCCAAGTACCCGGGATCATTTCTTTTTAAAAAAAAAAACCTCTTGATCATATAATCTTGAATACATCATTACTAGCAATAATAGAAAAGTGAAAAGCATTAAAGAATACAGTTGTTTGATAATACAATAAATATATCAACTCGACATAATATTACATTACTATTAAAATGATAAAAGTTCATAACAAGGAGTATTTATAATAAAATTTATCATAAAATGAACACTTATTTTGAAAATCTTAGAGAAAATTGCTATTAACTGATATTTACAAATTGATATTAAACTATAAAATATGTAAAATCTCTCCACAGGTAGACTAAAGGTGATATGTGAAAACAAAACAGTTATATTGAGTTAACAAGATGATGATCTTTTTTTTCTTTCTCATAGTGTTCTTTGATGTTTATCATTATAATAAATATAACTGACAGGGTAGAAATAAAAACCGGTTTTCATGTGAAGAATATTTTTTATAGATTTACTGAATAATGTATACCTTCTACTCTGCACCTTTCAAAATGTAACTATTTTTGAGACTCATGAGAGATGATCAAAACTGGTTTTCTTGCCACTAAGATTTGCATTTTTTACTTTGGGAATTTTTCATCAAAATACATATTCAACAATGTTCCTCTTTTTTTCTTTCCACTCTTGTTTTTCTTAGGCATTACTGTAGGAGTCTTGGTTCGAGAATACAGCAAGCTCTCAACTCTGGAGAAATTCTACTTTGCTTTTCCAGGAGAAATTCTGATGAGGATGCTGAAACTCGTCATTTTGCCATTAATTATATCCAGCATGATAACAGGTACCTTAAGAAAACTTATCTATGATTACTTAAGAAGCCTTCACCTGAGTTGTTCTTTCCTCACTATGGAAAAAAATTGTAATGCAGTAGTTGCCTTGCATACACACACACACACGCACACACACACACACACACACACTTGGAAAGTGTTTGCATGGGTGGAATCACTATTATTATTATTATTATCCACTGAGCAGCATTCTTTGTCATGTGCCACGCCTAGAGCACTGTCTACTACAGCTCACATCTTCCTTGCCAGCAATGTGAAGTTTTGGGAAGAAGGTGCCCCTTTTTTGAGAGGTTTTTGCTACAAGGCACATGCGCTCACTGGAAAGACAGAGAGAGAGAGAGAGAGAAAGCAAGAAATCACTCCCCAGGGGGGATGGCCACGCCACACTCCCTTCTCCTCCATTCTCCTCTTGGGTTCTTGGGCACGAACGCACACATACCTGGCATGAGTTTAAGCCACCGGGTCCAGGACTCAAACCCCGGTCGACTACATGGGAGTCCAGTGCCTTAGCCATTACACTAACTGCTGGTCCCTGAAGATGCTATTTTCAAATATAAATAAAACTCTGCTAAAGCACAGAAAGTAAAAGCTGGGCATATTTGGTCACTGAAATGTCAGCTAATGTCCTCAGGAAAGATGTGGTTGTCGATTTTAAGCATGTTTCCAGTAGTTCACAGTTTTGTCCTTTTTTTTTAATATTTTTGCCAGAGGGCACATGTGCTCCGCTTGAAAGAGACAGTGAGAGGGGAAGTGAGAAATCATCACCACCACCACCACCCCCCAGGGGGATGGCCATGACACAATCCCTTCTCCTCCTGGGATTTTAGGCATGCATACACATGTGCTCTACAAGAGTTTCAAGCCACTGGGTCCAAGATCTGAACCACAGTTAGCCATGTGGGAGTCCAGCATCCTAACCACCACTTTACCTGCTGGCCCCAGCTCATACTTTTTGAAAAGTTTATTTACTTCTTCCATGAGTGTGGGAGACGGAGTCAGAGACAGAGACAGATAGTGCTCACAGTAGGATCTTGAGGCTGCAATCCACCCTAGATTCACCCAGCGCTGGATCAACTTGACAGAGAGACAGAAAGCAAGAAATCACCCCCCAGGGATTATTGCCATGCTGCAATCCCTTCTTCTCCTTTCTCCTCTTGGGAGTCGGGGCATGCATGCACATCTACTTGGCATGAGTTTTAAGCCACCGGGTCTGGGACTTGAACTACAGTCAACTATGTGAGAGGTCAGTGATATAACTATTATGCCATCTGCTGGTCCCTTCCCTTTTTCTTATGAGAGTTTTTTGGCAGGGTCTCACTGTATTGCAATCCTCTTGCCTCAGACTCCCAAGTATTTAGGACCACAGGCATCCACCACTGTACCTGACTTACTTAGGCTGGCCCAGGAATCAACCAGACCTCCCAGGGGGCCTCAGCCTCTGAGTAGCAGTGTCTACTAGCACGTGATGCTGCAGCTGGCCAGTAGTTCACTCATTTGTCTCTCAGCTGCAGCTCTCCCACCCCTAAACCTAGCTGCCTTCAGATTCCTCTGCTCCCTGCTCTTCACCCACTTCCATTCCTCCATCGAACTCAGAACTTGCTAGGTACCTGCCCCGGAGGTGTGCCATGGGGTCTTCAGTCAAGTGCTGTGGGAAAGGCTTAATGACAGGTTCACACCAATTTTAAGAAGCTAGTACTTTTTTAATCTGATCTTGTGACACAGAAGAATTTGGAAATGACTTTCTCCTTATTGATCACTATATTTTAATGATTCCTTTAAAGCATAAGCTCCCTTATGCAGATTTAATTTGGTTTACAAAATACCATTTGTCAGGGGATGGTAAGCTTCTCTGTGCCTTCCATAGATTCTTATACTTATCTTAATTCTGATCATTGGTAAAGTATGACATGACATCACTAATGTTGTCAGCTTCAAAATCAAGGTTTTGTGTAACCTATGCAATTAGGAGTCTTTTCATACCCTCTTCTAGAACATTTTTCTCTACTGATACTGAACAGGTCAGAGACTGAGCTTGGTCCAGTCCTAGACATTGGCCAGGAGGAAGAAAAATTGGGCATCAGGATCTACTGCATTCAGCAACCTCACTGCTTGAAGAACTGTTGCATTGGTCATTGAACTTACTAAGCGCCAGACTCCCATCAGACTAGAGATCTTTGGGAGTTTTGTTCTTAAATGATTTTGATGTTTGCTTATTAGAAATAAAAAGAGAACATTCAATTATTTTATTTATGTGTTTAATTATGTTTTAAAATAACTGGTTTCCTTTAAGTGTGCCAGCCTGAGGGTCAAGGCGGCAGGCCAGTTGTTTATCTCATATAATGTTTAAGTTGTAGTTAGTATTTGAAACTTGGAAGATTACATGTAACATGGAGATTTCTCTTTAAAAAAATCTGGAAATACTAGGCTTATGTTCCCATTACATCTAGAACTCAGAGTGGTCTAGAACTCAGAGACAGCTACTCCATTCAGTTGTAGCATTTGAGGATGTCACAGTCACCACCACACCCTATTGCCGAATACCTTGTCCACTGTTTCACTTCCTTCACTCTACAGGGAGGTCCTCTGTAGGCATTGTAGGTATAACCCCTTAGAATTTCCTCTATATCAAAGATTCTTAATCTCTTCTTGAGTGCCTTTATGAGAAAGGTAAAAGTTTCGGGCTCTCTCAAGAAAAATATTTACAACTGTGCACATATATATTATTTTGCATGCAACTTCATAATGTTTATAAGCCACCTGGTGAGTGATATTATTAAATTTTTGTGTTTATCGGAGAAAGTATAGAAGGTTGATCCAAATTAGACAGCAAATTGAAATGTGTAGTAAACTAGGTTTTAGGAAAAAGGTTCAAGTACATACATGATACAAGTATTGCATGTTTGGAAATATGGGCCACTCTTGGCAGTCAGTAACTAGCAAGATGTTCGCAGTCTGGATGTTTTGTGTGCTAGCTCAGCCTTGCAAGTAATCTAGGGAAATAATTTACAGCAATCAGCATTCCATTGGCATAGCCCAGCTGCTTTTCAAAGCTAGAACACAGCCCTCGTAGTTCCTATTGTTGTCCTTCATCAAACTACCAGCAACTTGTCAGGAACTAGAAGAGAGAGCAAAACCACTACTTGCTCTTTTGCTATGGAGCAATGAAATGGTCAGAAACTCAGGTCATAAACAATGGAGGATGGGGACAATGATACCATATTCGTGTTTTAAGTTATCAGATTAAAGAGGAACAGGGACAATACTGGTATTGGCAAAGTAGTGGGAAAAGTGATTCATTCATATATTTTTAAATACTGTATAATTGGAACAAACTTTCTGCAGGACAGTTTGTAGCATGTTCTGATTTTTTTCCACCTAGAAATTATTTTTTAAAGAATTATTTAATTTCATTTACCAGTTTTTATTTATTTTTAATTTGCTATAGGACACGTGCTCACCAGAGAGAGACAGAGAGCTTCCAGGTCCAAAATTCAAACCATGGTTGGCCATGTGGAAGTCCAGCACCCAAGCCACCACGCCACCTGCTGGCCCCATACACCTAGTAATTTTATTTCTCAGAATTTATCATAAAAATTAAAAATCTGAGAGATTTAGGTCCAAGAATGCTCATGGTAGCATTTTATTATAATGTTGAAAAATTATAAGTAATCTAAACATATGCTATACCCATAAGTGTGTTACTATCACTATGCCACCAGTTAGAAACCTTGTTTTGAAAATATATTTAATTACATGATGAAATATTTCTAATACAGCATAAAGTGGGAGGACAGAATGAATTACACAACAGGATGTTGTATACAAACCAATTTTATTAACATGTACATGCATTTTAAAACTGGGATCAAAACCAGGAAGTTGACAGTGATTTGATCTAGACAATAAGAAAATATGCTTTCTTGGACTTTCCTTATATTTTCAAGGAGAACAATTGTTATATGTTGTTTCTTTTGTATTGTATTTTTTTGAGAGGTTTTTGCTATAGGGTGCATGCACTCACCAGAGACATAGAGAGACAGAGAGACAGAAAGCGAGAAATCACCTCCCAGGGGGATGGCCACGCCCGCAATCCCGTCTCCTCCATTCTCTTCTTGGGATCTTGGGCACGCACGCACACGCGCCCAACGTGAGTTTAAGCCACTGGGTCCAGGACTTGAACCGCGGTCGACTACATGGGAATCCAGCAACATAGCCATTACACCAACTTCTGGTCCCTGTATTGTATTTTTTTGAAGGAAGACAAAAGTGGAATGGACTCTGCTCTGTCCTCAGACGTGGCCTCTGGTCAGTTCCCTGCTCCCCTCCCTCATCTCTGTTCCTGGTCCTGCCCCCTGCTTTGCCCTGGTTTGCAGGTCCTCCCTCCAAACCCTGTGGTAGTCCTCAGCCTCCCCACCCAGACAGTGGTAAGGGAAATACATACTCAGCAGGGGCAGTTTTCACACTACAGAAGCCTTCATAAATCCAGCGGGTCAGCAGCTTGACTTACATTTATTAGACCCACGGAGGATGCTTGTGTGAAGCTGGGGAGGGTTGAAGAGTACCCTAAGGATACGTAAAGTAGAAGCAGAAATACGGCTAACACTAACACTGAGACCCAAGACTAATCCATGCTCCTGCATAAAGGAAACTCTCTTGTCAAATTAACAGGTAGGGAAAACAAACAAACAAACAAAAACTGCCCTAAAGCCACTGGTGACATGAAAATGCTTATCTTATAGCTATTAGGTTTCTTATTGGGAATAATCCCTCTTTGCATGAAGATGTAGTTAAGAAGTCATGTTAATAAGGGAAGTTTGATTGTAAACTGGCTATCAGAAGGTATCAAAACCTGGGGCTGGCAGGTGACCTGGTGGTTGAGGGCGCTGGATTTCCACGACAAACCGTGATTTGAGTCTCGGACCTGGTGGCTCGCTTTCTCACTTTTTCTCTCTCTCTGTCCCTCTCTCGTCGAATTAAAAATAAAGTTGAA